CATCATAGACGCCACTTTGGGCACGGCCCCCTCCCAGGTCTGGCGATCGCTCTTGGAAGGACGGGATGTTCTTTCCTTGGGCCTCATCAGGAGGATCGGGTCATGTGCGAGCACCCGAATCTGGAGCGACAATTGGCTGCCGCGAGATTTTAAGCTCCGGCCGATCTGCGCAAGAACAAACGACCCACCTATGATGGTTGATGAGCTTATCGACCCAGTAACACGTTCTTGGGATAGGCAAACTCTCATGGATGTGATTCTTAGTATACCTATCAGCGCACCCGGTTACAGGAGGACTTCTGGGCGTGGCACTATGATCGACGGGGTGTTTTTTCAGTAAAATCAGCATATAGAATGATCACTGCTATTAAGGCGCAGAGAGAGGATTGGCTAGAGCATCGGACGGGACACTCTAATGTTGCTGCAGATAGGAGATCATGGACACAGCTGTGGAAAGTGCAAGTCCCATCTAAAATACGAGTGTTCGTTTGGCGACTCGCACATACATCGATCCCTACAGGACAGGTCCGATTCGAGAGGAATATGACGGACACCCCAATATGCTCTATTTGTAATGCAGCGGAGGACTCGTGGCGTCACTCTCTTCTTAGCTGCAGTATGGCCAAATGCGTGTGGGCTCTAGGAGATGAAGAACTTCTGGAACATGTGCTATCAAACCAAAATGAGGATGCAAGGCTATGGTTGTTCTGGTTGTTTGAGTCCACAAATCAGCATGATCTTACTCGAGTTCTAGTGACCATGTGGGCGATATGGTGGGCTCGGAGAAAGGCCATCCACGACAATGAATTCCAAAGCCCACTGTCCACGATGTGCTTCATTAAGAGGTATTTGGAAGAGCTAGAGATTGATGTTGTCCGTTTGCCACAGAAACACACGGGTGCTGTTCATCGGCCACAGGCCAGGAAATGGTCACCACCGTCAGGTAATGCAGCAAAAATGAATTGTGATGGTGGGCTATCTACTTTGGGAGACAAAGGGGCTGCCGCGGTTGTTTGCAGAGACAAGTCAGGCACATACTTGGGAGCCTCGGCTGTTGTTTTCGAAGGCTTGGTTGATCCGGCAAGTCTGGAAGCGAAAGCGTGTAGCGAGGCTCTAGCCCTCGCGCGAGACCTAAATCTGAACGACTTGGAGATTGCTTCAGATTGTCAGGAAGTAATCTCAAACATCACCAATGGAGGGTCACCTACTTATGCACCGATCATCAGGGAGACAGAGCTCAGTAGGAACCTTTTTTCTTCTGTTATTTTCCGTTTTGAGCATAGAGAAACTAATTTTGAGGCTCACTCGCTAGCTAAAGGAGCTGCGTCTCTGGCGGTGGGTCGCCACGTGTGGCTGGGGGTTTTGCCTGACATTGCTTGTATTCCTCGACTTTTAAGTTCTGAATAAAGCCCCTAGTTACCTTCAAAAAAAATGCATGCTTTATAGCTTGGGTGTTGAATAATCCCACCTCGTTCTGTTAGGTTGAGTTGTCTCAGTTTATATACGTTCCCAAGTTAGCTGAAAAATCAACAAAGCCAACTAGGAATCAACAAGCAGCCCCGAGAGCCAATGGGAGAAGACCATGCAGTACCATTGAACAGGCTTGGCGAGGCAAAGAGGAGTAAAGCTTGTTGAGGGGCGAGGGACGCGTGGAGGAAGGGGAGTGGCTTGGACAGGGGCGGCGGAGCCGATGGCATGCCGGCTGCAGCGCGAAGGCGGGAACTTTACGGGCCTCGGAGATCCCGGCCGGGCCTGTGTGCCTGAGTTGGAGGTTGGGATCGGGAGAAATCTCTGTTGGCTTGGCCGATAACGATGCGGTGGCACCTATCGTTGGATGTCTCGGTTGGTTGCTTTGTATACAAAGCGGGGGAAACCCTTTTTCGGCAAGAAGGCTGACCCCAAGAATTGGGGGGCGGGGTAGTTCAGCCGACGGATCACGCTCTTGCATCCGTCGTGCGTGGAGCCGTTGGATCACTTTTGATCCGATATACCACATGTACCAATAAATTCTAATGTTGCAGTGGCAACACGACGATGCGGATAAAAAATTTCTGCAACATTATCCTTGTTGCAAGAAAAATCTACAACACAACCTTTGTTACAAATGTTTTCTGCAACATGACACATGTTGCAAAAAGTTCCGCAACAAAACCTATGTTGCAAAAGTGGGAAAAGTGAAGAACGACCCTTGACTCAGGTTTACACCAGATTTGATGGCTCGCGAGGCGACCAGTTTTTTAAAAACATCAGCCGGCCGACGCCCGACGCGTAGCACACCGATCAATCTTTAATTTTTTTCGCAACAAGACCTTGTTGCAAAGAAAAATGCAACAAGACCTCTGTTGCAAAAAAAAACAAGTACATGCTCGTGTCGCATGATCTTTAAAATTCTGCAAGAAAAAAAATTCTTAAGCAAGTTTTTTGTTGCAAAAAATTTAAAAAATACAGGCACTGTTGATCTTTAAAATTTCTGCAACAAGATCTTTGTTGCGAAAAAAATCCTGTAATAAGATCTTTGATGCAAAAAATAAAAAAACACGCTCGGGTGATTGCAACAAGCAGACAGTTGCGGAAACAACACCCTTGTTGCAAAGGATGGTTGCTTACATTGGTAGATCGGAGGGTCATTAATGCGGCGGATCCTTTTTCAATTTCGACCGGCGGACGCGTAGCATCGCCCATTTGAAAATCAATTGGGTTCGAAGAAACTTGAAACTATTTTTTTGGTCTTTTGGGGTTGTGCCAACTCCACATGAACTATCCGAAGTGGAACTTATATTTACATTGCTACAAATATAATTCCAAATATTAATTAAGAAGTTTAAATTAAGAGTGGGTTATGCTTAATTCGAAATGAATGGGATTGTTATTTTTAGCTCCCTAATATTTTTGGGGGGCTATGTTCATGAGTAATAAAGAGAACCATCATGTGAATTCCCTCAATTTAGATAGATTGAAGATCCATAAAATTACTTATTTGAATTTCATTTGGTTGGCTAATTTAATAAAATTCAAGTGAGGGATTTTTAAAAAACCTCAATTCAAATCAAAGCAAATAACATGAAACAAACATTATAGTTTAGTAGATGTAGTATTGATTCAACAGAAGCCTAAGAGGGTGTTTGTTTCCAGGGACTTATTGATTTAGGGACTTAAAAAAGTCTATAAGTCCCATCTAAACCAAACAGAAGGGACTTAAAGTGGGTATTTGAGACTTATGAAATAAGACTCTTAGTGCTTGTTTGGATAGTGATACTTAGCCATGCGTTTATCAAAAACTTGTTTATAGCAGATTTTTAGTAAAATCCGTTTTGCTAGTTTTTCTATAAATAATCAGTTTATGTAGAATCACGTTTGGTGTCAAAAAGGCTAAAAGCTGGCCTATCTAATTTCTTGTTTGGATAACCATCGCTCCCGTGAGTATAGGTAGGAGCGGGCCGTGAGAAACGAGCGCATCATGAGAAGTTCAGTTACGATCCAGTATATGTGAAACGTGTTTTTGGAAAAACCACTAGTAGTCGTTTTTCCATAACCATGAAATTCTGGGTTTCCTAGAAACATGTTCTTTATATCCACGGATTAGTTAGAATACCCAAACAAGATTTTTTTTTTCTGTTGGATGGTTTTCCTAGTTTGTAGAGATTGCATTCTATATATTCTATCTACCCAAACAACCCCTTAGGGCATGTACAATGGTTGATAAGATAGTCTTATCTTAAGTCTTGCATGTAATTTAAAGATGACAAAAAAGTATGTCTACAATGGGTTATATCTTAGCCTTATCTTCAATAACTAGCAATTCCTTAAAATATGGTGAGACAAATTGTGCTAAGAGATTATCTCTTGTCTTATCTTAAATAAGAGAAGATAAATCTTTTTTACGAGTTCTCTCTCCTCCACCTCATCATTTATCCTACGTGGCACTCCTAAGATAGCACCATTGTACATGCCCTTAAGGAGGGACTTATAGTTGTAATATGGTTTTATAGAGACTTATAAGTCCCAGGAACCAAACAGATAGAGACTTTTTAAGGACTTGAGACTTATAAGTTGGGACTAAAAAAAGTCCTAAGACTTATGAACCAAACGTGGCCTAATATGCCCAGACATGTTGCACTTGAAAAAAGTGAAGTATCAGGCACAAGGAAACTTCAAGGAAAAGGCCTGGTTGACTCGGTCCTTATACACGTTGTTCCGAAAAGCGCACGAAGCCAAGCCGCAACACAAAGTTATGTAAGTTTTTTTATGTATTGCACTTTTTACTAACCGTGTGGATTTCCTAAATTTTCAACAACGGTAATGGTGTCTTAGTAAATAAAATAGGCATGTTTAACAGAATGCAAGGGCATTAGTGGTGATATGATCAACCGATCAGCTTTATGCACATGCTCATAATAGAAATACCTTTAAGTTGATGCTTTAGTTTTTTTTTAACTCTGTAACAACGCATGGGCCTTTTGCTAGTAATATAAAAAGCATACTCAGTTTTTACAAATACGACATGCTCCCTCTGCCCCGTGGGACGGAGGGAGTACATTATTATTCTGAAAATAAATAAATTTGTGAAGTTCCAAAATCCAAAAATTCAAAATCGTACACCCACGCACGTCAAAGACAGAGAAGAGCTGTCCAGTCCAAGCAGCAGCAGCAGCAGCAGCTTTGATCGGCGCGCTATGCCCACCCACGCACGCAACCTCCCCTCCCCACCCTGCTGCTACTGCGTACTCTCAGTCGTCCCATCTTTACCCGCCAACCAGCAACCAGCATTCCCCCGATGAGATTCCAGGCTCGCATCGCATGTGGGACCAGGAGCCGCGCCCCAAACCAAGCAGAGGGAGGGGAGGGAGCGCTGGCCAAAAGGCCCAAAATCCCGCTTGCATCCCACCAGTTCATTCAAAAGAAAAAGAAAAGAAAAAACTCGTTCGCAGTTGGCAAAGCCTTCCCTTCTTCCGGAAGCCTCCCTGCTGCCACTGCGAGCGCCAGAGCGAGAGGGGCCGCCCATGGCCGCGCCGTTCGTCTACACCCGCAGCTCCGGCGGCGGCACCAGTACGGCCAGCCTCCCCCAGCTCCTCTCTCTCTCTCTCTCTCTCTCTCTCTCTCTCTCTCTCTCTCTGATTTTGCTTTGTGTGTGTGTGCAGGTCAGGACGCGGCCATGCGGGCGGCGTTCGACGGCGACCTCCGGCGCCTCAGAGGTCAGCCTCTCCTCTCCCTCCGCCCCCTCCCACGTTCCTCAGCTTTTCCCCGCCTCGCGAGGCCGTAATCTGTTCGACCGGGTTAGGGTTTTGCTTCCGGCTGCCGCGGCCATCCAATCCCCGGCGGCTAGACTATGCGAATGCCACCATTCTTCCTTAGCCGCGCCAATTTGGGCCCTATTCAATTCGCAGGACACTAGGAAAGTAGGAATGACCCCTCCCTTGTTATCGTAATTTAGGTTTCCTCCTGCGCTTGCGTGGAGCGCGGCTATGAGGGCAGGTTATCTTGTTGTTATTATGCTGTATTGCGCGCAGTTAAGTGTAAATTAGGTGCACGCTGCGATTTTCCTCTGAATTATAAAAACAGAAATTGCTCTCTGAATTGGGGAGGGTTTCTGCACTTGTGTGGAGCAGTATGATGGTGGGTCATCTTATTATTATGCTGTATGTATGTAGACTAGTACTATGATTGTCTTGTTAATTTGGTGTCAGCTTTCGCATTCTAGTCGATTAAGTGTAAAATCTGGCGTATACAGCGGTAATTATTCTCTGCATTAAATAATCTTTTTCTGCGGTTGTGGTCTTTTGGACTGTTCAAAGGGAAAGGCGAGTTATTCAGAATTTGGTCAAAACAAGTGCTTGCCTTGCACGGGCGGGGCACATCTTACGATCAGGTCACTATTCTTTTTGTCAAGTCCATGCACTGATTGACTGTGTGTCCAGGACGTGAACAAGTCCCTTGACATGAGTGGAAATGGGAAACCTTTAGGGTACCCTCCAACCCTATCAACTGAATTTCCAAAATCACAAATATACCTCATTTGTTTGAACTAAGGAGGGATCAAGGGTACTCTCAAGCTCACCAGTTTGCATGATTGCATCCTTGCTTGACTTAGAGCCTGTTCGGCAGCCCTCTGCTCCGCAACTCCGCTTCGGGAGCCGGCTGAGCGGCACCGAACACCTCAGCTCCGCGAATCTCTAATCTCGGAGTGGAGCGGCACGTAGTAGATTTTCCCGGAGTAGCAAAAGTGATGCTCCGCGAACTCCGCCTTAGTGAGGTTCTTGTCCATATATGCAACACATGTGGGCTTCTTTTCTTTTGGTTGTCTAGCTAGCTATGATTTGGCAGTTTGATTCATCAGTGTATTGATGCTTGGGTGTTTACTTTGGGTGAAAGGTACTGTAAAGAGTCTCGACGACCCAAGGGCGGTCTTCTCTTACGACATGGGTGGTGGCATTGGTGTGCTGCACATCGCAGCCGTCGGAGGGCATCTTGAGGTTTGCAAATACTTGGTGGAGGAACTCGGGGGAGATGTGAATGCTCCTGCTCCTGGAGTAGGAGGTCTTTCTCTAACTCTTCCTTCTTTTTTCTGGAAATTGGCACCTGTCATGTCTATGTTTCGCACCATGAGATGTCTGAATTGCGTTGTTGTGCTTTTTGATTGCAGACTTTGCAGGTGTGACACCCTTTATGTCATCTGCTCAGTCTGGCGATGTTTCTACTGTGAAGTATTTGCTTGATCATGGCGGTGATCTAACAAAGTCAGATGCTAAAGGACGCACAGTTCTCCACCATGCGGCATGCATAGGTAGCTCTCTTGGCCCCTCACCCATGCAATTTGTTTTTGTATTACAAAGCGTATCTTTGTGTAGGACACTATGGGTATGGTTCCTTTACTCTAATAATATCGTAGAAGAAAAGTTTTGTGATCATTTCTCATATGGTTAATATAGATTTATAACTAGTCAAAGTTGTATAAATTTTGCCCATCTATGATTTACACCAGGGTGGTCATTATAGTAGTAGTTACTTGCTGCTGTACACTTAGATGCGTAACCACATGACTATTGCAATTATTTTATTCACCACAGGAAGCTGTACGGTCACCGAGTTCCTACTTTCAAAAGGAGTAGCTGTTGACATAGACTGTGGCCATGGTACACCACTCCATCAAGCTGCTACTAATGAACAAGATAAAACAGTAAAGATTTTGTTGGAACACCATGCAGATGTATATAACTCTTACCATTTCTTATTTTTGTTTTCTAGATTTGATTTGCATAGATAGCTTGTTTTTTATTTTGTCGGCTACTTGGATTGACAATTTATGGCAGCTCATAATCCATTTCTTTGTTCCTTTATATTCTATAACAATTATTACTCTTGGCAGCCTAACGCCACTGTCATCGGGATTGGTACTGCCCTGATGGGTGCCCTTCTTTACCGTTCTTTGAAGTGCATGAAGCTGCTGATCAAGGCCAGTATTCTGTTTTCTACGTTCATTGCTATGTTCTACCATCTCAGCCATGCTTTTGTGTCAATCTACATGGAGAGGGAGCCGTGAAACATTCTATTCCACAATCCTTTTTACAGGGTGGCGCTGATGTCAATCGAGGGGGCTCCCTTCCGATGACTCCCTTAGTGTTCACTACAGGGTGGGGAGGCTATACAAACTTTGTGAAGTTTCTGTTAAAGGCAGGAGTGGATCCTAATATTCCTGATGCTGTATGTTCTCAATATTTTCTAGATGTATTCTGTTGAAACCTGTACTGATATGAATTTAAGTTGCTTTTAGTCTTTTGACTGTGCCATGAGAAGTTGCACACACCTACCAAAATATTGCATGTGTAGGCAAAAGGTAGGTGTGTGAGCTCCCAGTTTAACGGTTTATATCAACGAATGCATATCACTGTTGTTGACTATTCCCTCTGCTTGAAAATATTTGACACTCTAGTTTTGTCACAACCCAAATTCTTTGAGTTTCATCAAATTATAAATAGACTTACCAACATCTACCAAACCAAATTGCACTTCAAGAAATTTGACTTAGGAGAAAACAATATCATCAAATATTTTGGAACGAAGTAGCAAATTTTGGGTTTTCTTCTAGAACAACATGCTCTGTTCTGTGCAATAATGTATATTTGTATCCTTAGTCTGAAATGCTTTTGAATACGGTGGATGTCCTTGTATGGAGCCTACAAGGCCACAAGTACCCAAGATATAGATACGAGGTCGGTGCTTAACTTAACATTTGATGAGATACTTAGATCTCATAATGCAGCATTCATGGTATCCACATTTATCAAATGTACTCGTCCAGCAATCACCAGAATGATTTGAATTCGCTTAGGCTGTGTTTGGATGTATGTATTCAGCTTACTTTATGTTGTTTTCTTCATCCCAATCGTTGGTATTCGTTCATTTACTCTGAAGTGTCAAATTATATTTGCGCTTTCAATAATCGTAGAACAATTTTAAAATTCATATATAGCTACTTTTCCCTATACTATATAATTCATGGGGACTCGTAAAGGTTATGCCACTAAAAATCCATGTTACCTCTCAGTCTCAACTATTGCTGAAATACCTGTTTTTAGTCCCTTGCTGAAGGAAGACCTTTTGGTATGCTGTAGGAGTATGTTGACTGTTTGAATTGCTACTAGAATTTAGAAATGCTTGCTGGGATGAATCCTGGTTGAAACATTTTGTACCAGTATTATGTAGACCCTGCTCCTCTCCCATGGTACTATAGTTTCCTATACGGTTTATATCTTTTCATTCATAATGCTCATATTCTTTTACTGCATTCTAGAGGGTCCTTTAATTATGTAGTTATTTCAAAAGAGTTGACACTTTTCCTTTTGTTGCCCAGTATGGTAACTTACCAATAGAGCTTGCTGCTAAACGTGACTGCATGGAAGAAGTTGAAATGTTGTTTCCTTTGACTTCCCCAATACCAACTATCCCAAACTGGAGTATAGATGGAATCATCTCGCATGCAAAATTTGAAAGTTCAAAGCCACTGGTACGTTATTTATTGCTGTTATGCCCAGATAAAATTTACTTGAATTCCTGGTCATATTTTTTGTTCGCCAGTCCTGAATTTGTCCATCAACTGTTATGACTTGGAGTTACTATATATGCATGAGATCATCACATTTAAAAATAGTATCGTGACTTTTTTATGGGATTTTCTGTAGAGCATCACCTCGCCAAAACAATAAAATTGAAGTAGTTAAAGCTCTTGAGAACAAACTACCAATTCTAAATCGGAAGGACCAGACTGGGACCCCTTATTTGTTGTCGGCTGTTCCTTGGTTAAAAAATACTTGGTTATTCAGTATCGATCCAATGAACTGCTGTAAACTGTTCGTCATCCGCAGCCTTTAAGATACAGAAATGCTTTACAAGCATAATGCTTGTACATAACTCGAAGCATGGTTCCTTATTGTGGATTTAAGTTGTGAGCTGTGAAATACACGCATGTATATGCTGTTTTAGTAACCTATATAGTAATAATTTGACATATTAATTCTAAATTATGTTGGACCTTTTCCTCTTGTGATTAAAAGCTTGTGTGAGTAACTGCTGCCTTTTGCTGTGTAACATAATGTGCAGTTTGTCTTGCAGCATAAGCATATCTAGATACCAAGCTATGAAGAATGTGTAACTGAGTTGTGAAGTGTCTATTTTAATCGGAATGTCTTTGAAATGATGCTTCATTCCTACATTTTTTTCCCATTGTTTAATCATTCAGGATGGAAGGCAGCTTGAACAAACAAAAGCTACGCTCAAGGCACATGCAGATCATTTATTCAGGCTGAAGGACTACAAGGTGGCATCAAAAGCATATGGTGTGGTAAGCCCCTTAAACCTTGTCAAAAGCATGGTGGCTTAGAAGTTTTCTTTTCTATTAACAGGGAACCAATTGCAGAACATTATTTGTTTGCTGAATAGTTTTCTAATATTGTTCTCTAGTTTCCTGCTTATTAGCTGTTAATTTGCCATTATTAAGCATTTCTATCGGATTAATATTATTTTGCGGGACTAATTAACCTGCCATGGTGAGATGATAATCGTATAACCTGTTATGTTTGACCATAGGCAATAGCTGTCGCGCCGAGTGCAACATTGTACGCGAACAGGAGTCTTTGCAAACTGCTGTTGGATGATGGTGAAGGTGCTCTGTCAGATGCTCTCAGATGCAGAATGCTGCGACCTAACTGGGTGAAAGCTTGCTACCGTCAGGCTGCAGCTCACATGCTACTCAAGGTGAGTTACTACATGGTCCAGCTTGCCATTGTGTTTCCCCACTCTGTTCGAGTCTATATAGTCGCTCATGTTCCTCCTTTGACGTGCTCTATGCCTAGGAGTATAAACAAGCTTGTGATGCTCTCCTGGACGCTCAAAAGTTGGATCCTGGAAACGTAGAGGTCGAGAGAGAGCTACGGTAATCTGCTGTCTTGTATTTATCTCTTTTTTGAGTACACGTCCTGCGTGCATGAACGACATATACTTCCATACTAGTGACCAGCAGTTGCACGCTGAACAGCGTGCCTACTGCCGAGTGACATCCTTCCATATATCTGATGGTGCTGCGATTACAGCTGACATTTGTTTCATTTTGGTTAACTCTGTACAGGAAGGCCAGGGAATTAATGAAAGCTCATGGTGAGGCTGACAAGTGAAGCATGCTTTGTTAGGGAAATGCTCTTTTGGCTTGGATTAGAGTAGTTGATCAACTGAATGTGATGGTACTCATGTGACCAGAAGGCTGGTGGTACCCAACTTAAAGTCTAACTCTAGAGTCGTTGAATTTCTAGAGTTCTTACTACTGCTACTTGTTGATTGCATGCTGAGAGGATTTGGTGTGAAAATGTGCTGTACCTAACTTAAAATCTAACCCAATTTGAATATTTGCTGATTTTTCGGACGCCCTCCCATTTGCATCTTCTAACAGTTTATTAGGGGTCATTCAGTCACTCTCTGAACATGCATGAGAAGTTCTGTTCAACAATGTTGCTCGCTGATCATTTCAATTGTAAATTTGTCATACATTTACGAACACTATCATTTGCCTCGTGTTTGATCGGAAATCTTCACTCAGTCAGTGCAAACCCTTGGAGCCCTAATCTAGAGGCCTTGTATGAAAATGCAGAGATTCCAAAGAAATTCAGAAGAATCTGACAAACTGCTAATCTAGAGGAGTAAATATATTTTTTGAATGTGTTCACATATTTTGGGCCGCGACCAGCCTGCTTGCAACATTTGGCCCAACCCAAGAAGAACATGCCCAACCCTAAGCAGGCACGAGCTCACTCCACTCGCTAGCCACTATCGCCTCCACAGTCCACACCACTTCGCCGGCCATGTCAAATCGCCGCCGGAGCCGTTCATCGGCGTCAGCATGGAGCGGTTTGAGGCCAGCCTGGAGAGGGACGGCCTTGGACCCGGGTCGCTGGGGCCCGGCATGGACATGGTGAGGACCGTCGTCCAATGCTCCCTCCCCATGCCGCCCGTCTCCCCCGCCGCCCCTCTCTCGCTCGCCGGCGCGGCCTGGCTCCCCGGCGGCGCCGACCGCATCAGCGCCCTCCCCGACCGCCTCCTCCGCGACATCATCTCCCTCCTCCCCGCCGCGGACGGCGCGCGCACCGCGGCGCTCGCCTCGCGCTGGCGCCCCTTCTGGCGCTCGGCGCCCCTCGTCGTCGCCGACACCCACTTCCTCCCGCTCGGCGTCGGCGAGGAGGACTCATCCAGGTTCGCCGACCTCGTCACCCGCGTGCTCGCGGCGCACCCGGGGCCCTTCCGCTGCGTCCACCTCACACGCACCACCATGGACGCGCACCGGGGCGAGATCGCGCGCTGGCTCGACGTCCTCGCCGCCAAGGGCGTCCAAGAGCTCGCCTTTATCAACCGCCCGTGGCCGCTCGACATCCGCCTCCCCGCCACGCTCTTCCGCTGCGCCCCCCTCACCCGCCTCTTCCTCAGCGCCTGGAGGCTCCCGGACACGGCCGCCGTCCCGCGCTCCGCCGCCTTCCCCAACCTCCGGGAGCTCGGCCTCTCCCTCGTCGCCGTGGAGGACCGCGACCTCGCCTTCCTGCTCGACAGCAGCCCCGTCCTGGAGATCCTCACCGTCATTCTGTCACAGGTCCCAGTGCGCCTCCGCCTCGTCAGCCACAGCGTGCGCTGCGTCCAGCTCTGCTATTCCATCGTGGCGGAGGTCTTGGTGGTGGACGCCCCTCGCCTGGAGAGCCTCTTGCAGTCATGGGGCCTCCGCCTCGGCAGCAAGTCCGATCCGGAGGTGCTGCAGCGTTAAGATTGGCCATGCGCCCAAGCTGCGTGTTATTGGATACCTTCAGCCAGGAGAGCATGACTTGGAGATTGGCAACACCGCTATCAAGGTCATCACATTGTATACACTTGGAGTAGTTCATAACTTCATATGTAGTATACATTTGTCAGTAACATGTGTGCCATGCCATCCAAAATATGATCTTAATTAGCATATCTTCAACATTTGCATTGCAGGCTGGGACTAAGTTGACCACCAGCACCCTTGTCCCGAGTGTCAAGATCCTGGCCTTGGAACTTAAATTCCAAGTCTGCAGTGACCTCAAGAAAGTGCCTAACTTCCTCCGATGTTTTCCCAACGTCGAGACGCTTCATTTCCAGGTATTCAAAGATCATTTTACATTGCCACTATCTATCTACGTAGCGTGCTTAGCTAGATTAATTGCTTTATGATCCAATTTGATACCTTCTTTTTTTGCAGTCTGAAAAGGCGTGTGAGGAGCCTACCGGCAAGGTCGGTCTCAAGTTTTGGCTGGAGGGCGGTCCCATTACGTGTATCCGGCAGCAATTGAAGAAGTTAATATTCCGTGAGTTCCGAGGGTCGACAAATGAAGTTGCTTTCCTTAAGTTCGTCGCCGAGAAGGCTCGGGTGCTGGAGAAGATGGTGGTTGTGGTCTACTTGTCTTCGGAGGTTGACGTGAGTGCCATGCTGAAGCCTCTGACTTGTGCAAAATGGGCAAATGAAACTTGCAAACTCCAAGTATACAAGAGCATATACAGCGATGGGTCACGGCCGGTTTATGGCGTCAGGCTGGCATCAGAGGTTTCGCCCGCTGACCCTTTTGACTTGAAAGACTATTATGAATCGCTGCTGTAAGGTTAATAATTAGTAGCATTGTTCCTCTGTTAGAAGACATTCTGGCAGGTACTTAGATCTGATTGTCATCAGACAACTTGTATCTATCTATCTGCAGTTCATGTCATTTCTCTAGCAAGTTGCTTCCGTGATGTTACATCACAAAACTTGCTCTAAATATGTACCAGTACCAGTATCATGCTACAAGATGATCGTTGGAATGTTGGCTGTCTTTAGCTTATTATTCTGTTTGCTGTTTGTGTGCGTGAATCCAGATTATCTAGTATGTTATGTTCATTCTTGTTAGAGTTTAACTTGTTGTTTTGTCACCGAGTTGAATAAGTACACGCCTATGTTCATAAGTATGAACAGCACAACTGTGTGGTGTGCTGAAGTGTAGCGGCATGTTGCAGTTTGCCTGCAACTGAAGCCAACTTGCATAGGTGACAGAATGTGTTTCTGTCCTGGTGAGTTGAACCGCTGGGTGCGTCAGTTCAGTGTTTAAGTCAGTTTAGGCATAAATGTTTAGTCATTCGTTGTAATGAACAGGCTAATTGAAAAAGAAGAAGAAAAGGGCATGTGTTGCCCGGAACCAAATAGTACTGTCTCCTCTGTTTTTTCTCTGAAACTCTGAGGCAGCCATCGTTCTGAAAACTGCGTGCGTGTGTCAACAGAAATCAGAGAGCGAGAGAGACTGATGGTCTGAGCCTACATTTCTGATCTGTTGAGCTGCAAATCAATTATGTTATCCAGCTATTGGAGTTGGTTTGATTTGTGGTCACCTGGTCCTGTTTCGAAACTAGGAGTTCGAACCTCGCAGGCACAATCCTCTGAATTCCTTTTGCGTTTCTCCAATCTCATACAAGGCCTCTGGATTAGGGCATCTAAGGTTTGAACCAATTAAATGGATTTAGAATTATGCTCAAACTCTTATGCCGTCGCCATTTTACATGAAGAAGGTAGGAGTTATTGTATTCCAGTGAGGTATTTATATGTTTTTTTTTACATGAAGAAGGTAGCAGTTATCTAGGGTATCTTGATGGAAACTAGCATCTATCTCAGGTATGATTCACTTTGTTTTCTCTTTTTTCTCTATATATTACATATTCCTTGCACGTATCTTTCTTGGTGTTGAAATATAGTTAGTTGATGGATACCATGGAATTGACTTGATTGTGAACTTAGTGAGGTTATAGTGGCACTGGCCACATTAAGGGTTTTCACCATTTTGTGTGGATCTGCAGGAGTGTCATTTATCAGTAATGATCATTAGTTCCCTGTGATGTGTTTCCCGAGTAATTTCAGTTTAATCACGTGCCTCAGCTATTATCCATGTTTGCCCAGCTTTGTCATTGTTGTGGTATAGATTACCAGGAAACGCCACTTTTCACTGAGGTGTATCTTCAAAATACACATGTTTATTGATCGATCCAACTACATTACTTGATTCTCTTGTGTTCTTTGTCAATGAAAGATCTGCCTTTACACTGAAATTGGTTCTTTGTACAGATTTGCCACTTTGCGCGTTATTTGGAATTTGCCACTAGAGAGGCCGCTTCTGCTTTCCTCGCGGGTGTTTAGTGGTGCATGTTTTTCTTCTTGCATTTTCTCTATATGTAAACGAAGATCTGTTTCAGTAATAATTTGCTTTACATATGTACTGTTTGGTGCCAATGAACCTTCTCCTCTAAGAACTGAACAATGCATGATTCTTTTACATTTAGAGCACGTTGGTCTTTGAATACCAGTAGAAATATTTGATACTGATGTTTTGTTTGCCTATTGCTCACCTGTATGTGTTGCGTTGCCTCTACCTATGGTGTACTACGTCATTCTTTTCTATTCGTGTTATGAAGTGTTTCTGTGTGCCTTTTTGCTTCTTTTCTATTCGTGGTCCGAAGGACGATCGCTGGTTCTGTAGGGAGAAGCTCATTTTAAACTCTCTTTGGAGCTCATGTACATTTTCCTGACGTCAAAATGATAGTAGTTATATCCCCTGTCAACCCTGAACTCCCTCCTTATCCTGGAAAAGTTGATATGACTGTTGCTGTTCAGCCGGAGCCTGTGCTTGCCCCTGCTTCCATTTACATCTCTGAAGAACAGACTGCTGACACATCTGTTGGCTTGAAAGACTCTGATGCTGGCTTCGTCAACGCTATTAAGGAGATCAGAGCATCTGAGAAGGTTATCATAGAGGATCTGCACCTTATTCGACCACGGCTGCCCTCTCCAGCTATTGCGGGTAACTTTGGCTGGCACTGCTTTTGCCATTGCTTCAAGCAGGATCCTTAATGCTCTTCATGCAGGATCTATTCTGATTACTTCCTCTCTTGGGCCTGCATAGACAGAAATCTTACACTACGCGACAGGAGTTTTTGCCGAGCCTATCCTCTTACCCTCTGAAGAAAATTTAAGTGAACTTGTCCATCAAGTCTCCGCATGCTGTTTCGAACATGAAATGAAGATTTCTGAAGTTGAGTTGGCCCAAACGTGGATGGATATCTCTCCTCAGTACAGCCAACCTGTGCCTAATCTCAGAGC